CGGAGGAGTCAGCTCGTGTGACAGTGCGCGGTGCACCACACAGGTCACGAACGAGCGCCTCAGAGGAAGAACACTTTGCTCAGGACTCTACTCGGCTGTGTTTGTGTAGGAGTTTGTGAGTGTAAGCCTCTCTCGTGATCTCCCAGTGCGATTGCCGGAGAGTATGACTTAAGGTTTGAAGGGAGGATATCGCAGAGAAAAAGAAGATTCCAAGAGGCTGGTTGCGCTCGGTTACAATGAAGACTATTCTGCTGGCTTGCATCTTGGCCGCTGCAGTGGCTAGGCAAGGTAAGGAATGGATAATGTTTTCAGTAAGAAATGTTTTAAGATGTGCGAGTTTATATTATATTTTGGTTTGAAAATAGCGATTTTCCATTCATAAACAGGAGAATATCGAAAACATATTTATTTCTCTGTGATACAGAAACCTTTATAGACCTCACATCGACCCTGGAATACTGCTTATTTTGTGCTCCATATCATAAGATTTATAGATATAAAATGCACACACTGTCTACCTTTAGCGTAAAATATTACGATAAAACATGTGATGTTTACGGAATACATAAGCATAACTCTAGATGAAATAACTCCCCGGGACACCTGCACCGACGAATCAGTGACAGAAACTAATCTGTATATAATGTGCTAATCATCTTTCGTCTCTTGTCACTGAGCAGGTGTAGGAAGGATGACTTAATAACTCCAGGTGTCATCCAGGTGTAACGGGTGTGTGTCATTAACAACGAAGTGCGAAAGAGATGTCATTAAAGTTATTGCCTTTTCACATACTGATTAAGATCAAGATACTCCCTTTTCGCTTCTGGTGATTAGGCTTCGTGACGTTAGTTTACGTTATATATGTGCAATCACTAAATTATTAAGCGTATTATTTGATTCACTCTCTGAAATCTATTATCCATGTTTCGCGCTCATCTCCCGACAATACAGGTCTAATGCGTTATAAGGTTTAAAAAGAAAAAAAAACATCGTTTCAGTAGAATCAGCTTCTATAAATCAATTTCTGCCAACCTTTCCAGCTGCGGTTAGCGATAAAACTACAAAAGCTCTCGGACAAAATGCGATTTACATTGTTTACTTAATACACGAAGATTTATCACTCAAGAGGACACGCAAAATAAGTGCACTCTCATTTCGTTTGTGAAGATTACGTGCGTTTTCGTACCCAAACGCATTCTCTTTTTGCAGTGTGAGCGAAACCTGAAACCCATATCTCAGGTATGCGATACGTCACGGGAGCATCTTTTTTTATATTGTGGCTTTATTTTTCTCTCCTTTTTATCGAGTGAACATCTGAGATGATTTCAGGATCTAGATATGGACGCGTCTTGGTTCTCGGATGTTCGATGACGATTCTTTTGAGAAGTAAGATATCCTTTTTTATTGCTAGATAATTTGAATATTGATCATTTCCCACAAGAATGCGAGTAAAGCACACCAGAATAAGCAATTCGCCGCAGTCGTTGCATAAAAAGACGCATTCAATAATCTTGTATTACACGCTCAACAAGAAAACCTCTCCCACGAGAAATTGAAACCATAGGTGGTCAGAGGCCAAGGCTTGGTCAGAGGGGCCCGAGGCTGAGACGCACAGCTGCGAGACGTCTTCGGCTGCGGAGGCTTCGCTCTCTCCCTGTGGGTTGAGGCTGCGCCCTGTGGGGTTGGAGGGCGGAGGTATTTCCTAATGGCGTTCGGCGGAGGAAGTTGTGTCTGAGCGCGGGGGAGGATAACCGGTGGCGAGCGGCGGCGGGCACAGTAATTGGATGGGCTGCAACAGGTGTACGGGCGTAGAGGTGCGACTAATCCGAAAACAGATGGGCGGCGAAATGCTTATGAATATGAGAAAGTTATTAGCATTTCAAAGAGGGGTATGGGGTATTGTAAAGTGGATGGACTGGATGATAGTGCATAGCATTTACTTGATATTACAATATAAATCTGTAAAAATATTCCACATCCACATATTGGTGGTATTTCAATTGAATGTTTCTGTAGACCAATGTAACGAGTTGCATTTCCTCTGACAGCAGGCCCACCGGTGATCAAGGAGCACCCGAGCAGCGTGGCGGCGCGGCGCAACGACCCCGCCACCCTCAACTGCGCCGCCTCCGGAGCCAGCCGCATCCGCTGGTACCGCGACGGCGAGGAGGTGACGACGGCGGCGGAGGACCCACGCTCCCACCGCGTCCTGCTGCCGTCGGGCTCGCTCTTCTTCCTGCGCGTGGCCACCTCCAAGAGGGACAGCGACGCCGGCACCTACTGGTGCGTGGCCTCCAACAGCCACGGCGCCACGCGCTCCCACAACGCCACCCTCACCGTGGCCACGCTCGCCTACGACTTCCAGAGCCAGGCCGACCCCGTGGTGAGGGCGCGCGTCGGGGACTCTGTCGTGCTGCCGTGCCGCCCGCCCAAGGGCTCTCCGCCCCCCGAGGTCACCTGGCTCAGGGACTCCCACGAGGTCACCAACTCCAGTCGGATCTCCGTGTCTCAGGCGGGCGATCTCGTCATCAGTCAGGCCGTCGAGGAGGACTCGGCCTCCTACGTGTGTCGCGCCCGCAACGCCGCGGGCGCCCGGGAGTCCACGCCCACCAAGCTCACCATCATGAGTAAGTGCCTTCCCGTTCCCTGAGATACGTTGAATACCTGTGAGCATATCCACTTGTCCCTAAAGCCTTCGTCCTCAGCCCTAACGGAGCTCTCTCCCCCGCAGCGCCGCCCTGGTTCGAGGAGCGTCCGGCGAACGTGACCGTCGCGTCGGGCGTGGTGGTGGAGCTGGCGTGCCGCGCCCGAGGCTCGCCCACGCCCACGGTCACCTGGCGGCGTCTCGACGGCAAGATGCCGCTCGGCCGCGCTATGATCGAGGACCAACGGCTGGTGCTGGACCACGTGGCGGCTGCTGACTCCGGCGTGTACGTGTGCGAGGTGGAGAGCGAGGCGGGGATCGCCGCGGCCCGGGCCACTCTCACCGTGATCGACGCCCCCGAGTTCGCTCAGCGGCCGCAGGACGTCCAGGTGGTGGCTGGCCAGAGCGCCAGGCTCTCGTGCAAGGTCGAGGGCGACCCCAAGCCCCTCCTGCTGTGGCGCCTTCCCACCCAGGACAGGACAGCTCTGCTCGCCGCGGGCCAGAGCAGCGGCCACGCCTCCGTCGCCGACCAGGGCCAGACTCTCCTGCTCGGCGACGTCACTACACTGGAAACCGGAACCTATTCCTGCTGGGGCGTCAGTAGAGGTGGGGGCATCAGTGCTCACTCGGAGGTGGTCGTTGTAAAGGCATATCCTCCACCTGTCATAGGCATAGGGCCCCAGGACCTAAAGGTGTCTCCCGGTGTGAGCGTCGTGTTTCCTTGCGAGGCAGTGAGCGAGGCAGCCCAAGCGTCCGTTTCGTGGTGGCACCAGCCTGCAGCGTCTCACCCAATTCGGCATCTTTCCAAAGGCAGTAAAAGTGGCAGAGTTTCTATTCTCGTTAACGGTGCACTTGTAATCAGGGACGTCCGTGTCAGTGATGCAGGAACTTATAGGTGCCACGTCAGTGCTGAAACGGGTTCCATAAAGAGATCAGCAGTATTACAAGTAGTAGAAGCAGCCGAAGAATACCGCCCCTTCCTGCTGCCGGCGCCGCCGTCCAAGCCGCGCCTCATGGCCGTCAACCAGACCGCTGTGCACCTGAGCTGGCTGCCCAACTCCCAGATGGGCGGAGGGTCCGACCAGACGTACACGGTGGAGTTCTGGCGCCAGGGCTGGGAGGAGTGGCGGGTGGCGGACGCCCTCATCTCGCAGGAGTCGTGCGTGGTGGGCGGGCTGACGCCTGGCCACACCTACACCTTCCTGGTCCGTGCCGTCGACTCGCGAGGGGCGTCGTTCCCGAGTCCCTGGTCCGACCCGGTCACGACCCGCTCTCCCCGCGACCCGAGTCTCACGGAGGACGAGGTCCGTCACGTCCGCCGCCGCCTCTCGCGCCCCGCCGTCACGCTCACCGACGCCACAGCCACCGCCCCCGACAGTGTCCTTCTCAGCTGGAAGTTCCTGGCATTGGCGGACGAGGCCGTCGAGGGCGTGCTGGTTTACGCCATCAGTGACTCGGGCGTCGTGCAGGTGGTCACTGTGCTTGGTTCATCGACTTCTCACCCTGTGCACGGTCTACAGGCCAATACTCCTTACACCTTTTTCCTCGTCCCCTTCTGGCGCAGCGTCGAAGGCACACCATCTAATTCATATTCACTGCAGACTCCACAAGATGGTGAGTACGCCTTCGTTTATTTACGTTTTATACAAAATGTATACAATTACTGTGTCCTTATATCTTATTTAGGTACTATTCCCCCGAATGAAATATCACTGTCGTAAGTCAAACCTTCATTCGGTCTATGTACTCTGTATACCTATTAATTATCAACTTTATCTTCCACAGCACCATCAGTCGCTCCCACTGACGTACGCGTTACGCCACTCGAGGAAGGATCTGTACTTATCACGTGGTCGACGTTGGAGCCGGAAAAAGCCAGAGGAGAGATCGTTGGTTACCAGGTCATCATCAGTCACAACACTACTTATACGTCAGAAACCGTGGTTAATCCGTGGTTAGACGCTATTGGCTTAGTCCCTGGTCAGTTGTACACTATCCGCGTATCTGCCGTAACAAAAGCAGGTCCCGGTCCCTTCACCGCGCCCTTGTTGGTGGATATTGGACCTTCGCAAGTCGACTCTCAACCACGCGAGGAAAGCGACATCGCAAGCACCGATTTTCACGCGCCAGAAAGACCCCAGTGGTTGATAGTTCTTCATATCATAACACCCATCGTACTGCTGATGTCACTAGCAACCCTGTTGTACGTCCGAAAACTAAATGATAAGCCGGTGACTTCAACTGCACCGAAGTCTTCCCTGCTGTACCAAGTCCCAGAATGTCTCTTCTCGTCCCGGCTCCCCGAGTCGGCAAGCACATACAGCGAGAACATGATTTTAGCACCCAGCAAGAGCCAGTTTTCGAGTGCCTCGTCTTCCCCGCTGCTGAGATACCATGAGCGCGTGAACGAGTACGCAGAGCCGAGGTTCCAGAAGCCCAACGAGAACACTGAACCCTACGCCACAACGACCTTGTTAGTGCCAGCGTCGCCTTGTCCGAATCATCCAAAACACTGGTCCAGGAACACAGAAAAGACGTCCACCAGTACCTACCACTGGTCCGTGTCCCTTCCTTCGTCTCACGCAAGTTCCTTCACGCCACATAGCATGGATTATCACTGTTCATCCGTTCGGTATGATTTGTAATGTTAATACCAGAATTCGAATATTGAATAGCTCCTAATTCCTACCAAAGACAGTTGCCTGCGTTCCTATTACTGAATTACTAAGTATTAGCATTACCGTCGACTAGTCTAGAATGATATGATTGCATTATGTGTATATGAAATTTATTTGATGGTGTGCTAAATGTGGTTCGGCATTACGTATATATCTTAACGAAGCGTTTGCATCAACACTGCATATCAGGAGCGAATATGATATTATGCCATGTGCCAAAAATATGCGTATTTTATGTGAATAATCTTTAAAAAATGGTAGTCATGCTTATGATGATTATGATACATGTACCTTAATAAACATATATATGATTTTATGGTTAGCGTACACATATATATAGTATTATATAATTATTGTTTCTTTTCTAATAAAATAAGAAATATCTCAAAGGTTTTCTTGTTCCGGACACTGCTGTTCCACTTTTCTTAGGCTAACTTAATTACCCACTTATACTTGTCACATATAACAAATAAATGAACTAAGACAATTTCTTATACTGGAAAAGCCAGAATAAAAGTAGACAATATTTCCTCAGTGTATACAATCCAGCGAAATGTAGAACATGGATAATGAGATTAATTTCCGTAATATGAATTCGATATGGTTTAAATATATTTCTCGTGATAATGAAATAACAATTCATAATATAAATTTCCAAAGAAGTGAAAATTAATACAAAAGAGAAAGAGATTAGAAACAGACACACACACACACACACACAAACACATACATACACACACACACACACACACACACACACACACACACACACACACCACACACACACACACACACACACACACACATATATATATATATATATTATATTATATATATATATATATATATATATATATATATATATATATAATTATATATCCATATACACATGCAGAGACACAAACATAAAGAGATAATCAGAAAAAATTTCCCATCACTTTCTTCGCTGTTGCATATCAACAAGAGGAACACATGAATGGGAAAAAGGGAAAATAATCAAACTTGACCTTTCAGTTCCTTTCCAATGTCATAAGTAGAAAGAGTGAGGCTATGATATCGCCCTGTGTACTTCCTTTCTATTCGTTGCTCACACACAAAGAATAAATGTTGAATATTCATATATACATTCGAGTATTATCTCTCTCTCTCTCTATGTTTCGTTGCTACGAAAGTCTTGGCCACGGTCGGCCATCTATGATCAAATTAAAAAGCATTACAGACCGGCTGAAATCGAACAAGCCCATGACATTGTGATCAGTTTATCCGACTCCAGAAAACCCAGGAGCACGACAAGGGACACTAAACGGATGACAAACATTATTGTGCACAGTATGATTGATCAGTGTGTAGATAATCAAAACATAGTGTTCGCAACAACTACAACGGACACTCCTCCAACAGACTGGTCACCACCTAAGAAATCAGGTAATTCTATTCCTTTTGTAAAGTTCTTTCAAAAGAGTACAGACCAAGGAGCACAGACCTGTAATGGGCCTTCCCTCACGGACCAAAACCTGATTGAAAACAAAATCGACTTGTTGATCGGAATGTTTTCCGAACAACAGTCGACCATCAATAAATTAATAGGGCAAAAACAAGCAGAGGACGCATCGGCCACACAAGAGCCGATCCCCCCCCCCTACTCCAATCCCCCACCCGTGATCAGACCACATATGAAACCTTTCCCTTCACATCCTCCCCAGTCACAACGCCCCTACCTCCACCCCAAACCCCTCCTCCACACCTCCATACCCATACCCGCGACCAGCAATCCTCCCCTCCCAATACCCTCCCCTCTCTCCCTGCCCGCGGCCAGCCAGCTCCCTCCGCGCCTTGCTGACTCGCCGGCCGCCAACTCTGCTGAGCCATCGACGTGCCCCTCCCGGCGCTCACAGCCAGCAGACCCCCGCCCTACAGACGCCCCGCCTCCCCAAAGTCAACTAAGAGCCCTCCTGCCGTGAGACCCAAAACCAACACGCCAAAGAAGACCAAAGTGGAAGCTTCTACACAAGTAACACCTAAACGGAGCTTTAGAAAAAGACAAAACAACAGGAGTAACAATCAAAGAGAACATCTTGACCCCAACCGCCACTGGGAGGAAACAGCTCAGCAGCAGGTGCAAGGGGCTACCGCCCACCCCGCTGCTCCCCCTCCTCCAGCAGCACCACCAGTCATCATTTACAACTATGCCGAACGAGAAAAACCCACAAAAATATTGACACACCAAGGTCAAGTCAAGAAATCAGAGAAAAGGAGACAGAGAACACCAAACACCAAAGCCGTTAAAGGGAGCAGATCGTCCTGACACAGTCTACCTTTACATCACCAGTTGTCACCCAGACACAAACGAAGAGGATATAGAAGAACATCTATCCGAAAAGTTTGAAAACATAAGTGTCAAGGCCCATAAGACAGTGATGACACATGATTACTACACCAGCTTTACGGTGTCAGTAAGAGGAAAGAACATAAAACCTGAGCTATTTTTAAACTCTGATACTTTTCCTGACAATGTTAAAGTGTTCCTAAACAAAAATAAGTACAAGCGCGATCAGAATGTTTGACCAGGCAACGCCGTCAGCGTTACCAATGACTAGATCGCAAAAAGTCATACAAATAGAGCATATAAACGCTCAGTCTCTCCTCGGGCATTTTGAAGAAATTAAAATGCTTGTTGAGAGAAGAAACATAGACATATTATGCATAAGTGAAACATGGATCCACCAGGAAATGGTCAGTAATTTCATCAATATTCCAAATTTTAAAGTTTACAGATGTGATGCAGGGCGAGGAGGAGGAGTGTGTATGTATGTACGAGATACCCTGAAGTCAAACAGGATTTCTACTACAGCAGTTAAAAATACTGCCGTAGAAGATGTCTGGGTTACCGTACAAAGCAACATGCTTCCTTCCTTCATTATTGGCGCTGTCTATAGGCACCCCCATGCTGCCTCGGAAACATTGAAAAGGTTTTTAGAGAAATGTCCTTAAAAAAGAAACCGCTTTTCATCTTAGGTGACCTAAATGATGATTTAACAAAATCTAATGCTAAATTAGCGAAGTAATTAAGAAAAATAAATTAGAACAAATAATAGATAAACCTACTCGAATTACAGAAAACACCTCTTCTCTATTAGATTTAATAATAACTAACAGACCAGATCTCATTCTCCATTCCGATGTCACCCCGTGCCACGTTGCTGATCATGAACTTATCACGATGATGATAAATATAAAGAAAACAAAGAGACCACCAGTAATAAAAACTTTTCGCGATTTCAAACACTATGACCCTCAGTCTTTCCGCGAGCTTATCCTGTCTAAAGAAATGAATCTATTGAATATTCCATCGATAGATAATGTAAACAATAATGTAAACAAACAAGTAACTATTCTCACGGAAGTTATTTAAATCAGCATCGATGCGCTGGCTCCCTACGTAACACGAATCGTCAGACGTCCCCCTGCTCCATGGATAAATGACGACATCAAGAGAGCCATTTGCGATAGAAATGAAGCCCACCAAGCTCTTAAAAGTAACAGACATGAAGCTGCCTTTCAAGTAGATTATAAAGTAAAAAAGAAAAATGACAAAATGTTAATTCAAACTGCTAAAAGAAATGATTTCAGAAATAAATTTACTGAGTATAAGAACAACTCTGATAAGACATGGAAAACTGTTAAAACACTAGTGCCTCAAAACAAACAGCTCACTAGTGATTGTGCAGGTCCTAACAAAACATAGAACATTTTAATCACTTCTTTTCAAAATTGCAAAACTAACTTATGAACAAACAACTGCTTCTACATTACAACGAAACACAGAGAGGCAATGTTTACAAACTAATTTTTTTCAGACCACAACCAGTGGACGTAGAAACAATAATCTTTAGTAAAAAACACCTTCGCGAAACAAATGCTGTAGGAGCAGACGGTATTGCTTTGCGCTTTATCAGAGATAGTCTACCCGCAATTGCACACACTGACGGTCATTATTTAAAACCTCTCTGGTCACTGGTGTCTTTCCGTCGCTTTGGAAAAATGTATAGTAACACCAGTTTTCAAGTCGGGGGATATAGACGATGTACTAATTATCGCCCTATCACTTATACTCCCTATATTATCTAAAGTTCTTGAAAAAAAATAGCAAATCAATTTAACGAGTTTCCTGGAGGCCAATAACTTATTATCTAAAACGCAACATGGTTTCAGAAATAAGTTATCTACTGAAACAGCTTTACTACAAATTACTGATGAGATCTTTAATAATAGACAATAATCAGGTAAATTAGCTTACATTATGCGACCTTTCTAAGACTTTTGATAGTGTTAACCATGAAATTCTCCTCAACAAATTAGTAATTCATAAAATTGGTACCTTTTGGTTTAAAATTATTAGATGCAAGGACCCAATCAGTAAGAATCAATGATTGTATATCATCAAACACAAGAAGTACCTTTTGGTGTTCCTCAAGGATCCATTTTAGGTCCGATCCTATTCACCAATTTTCATAAATGATTCTGACTCAACAATGTCTCATTGAACTGCCTATTTGGTACAGTACGCCCGATGAGTTTCCACAGTTTCCTCTCCTACACGTAGTCTCCCTTGTGAAAACAACTTGGCGTAATACAGTTTCTGTGATTGATGCTTCCCAGCCTCAAGTAACAAGCCAGCTCATACACTTGACCCTTTCGTTCACACCCAACCAAAATGTGCACGTAACGAATTTGTTCTTCCAAAAGAGTAATCAAGATATCTGATATTACCTCATATTTCTGCCGTTAGATATCCTCACTTGACGTACTGGCCGCACCTATTGAAAGAAATAGTCCTCTCGATTTACTGGTCTGTGTGTGTACTGTCTGTTCTCACACTAGTCACTCTCTCCGCTTCTCGCGTCCTTTAATCTTTTATATCTCTGAGTCTGAGATCTGTTCCCCGATCTTGGATCCTACCTGCTACTCTCTCATCCATAGAATTTGTACAAGGTATCTCCAGCTTTCGTCCCAATGCTATCCCGAATACATCGATCCCTTATGTCCCCATGATAATAAATATCTTAGTCATATCTAGTGCGAGTGCTCTCTGGTCTCTATATTGCTCCCTGTACGTGTACTCCCATCTCATACTCTTCTGTCTGATGGACCAGACTATCTTACGTTAAGTTTGGTTTAAATATCCTACATAAACGTATTCTATTCAGACCATATTACATACTATCATGTTGCCAGATTTACGATGACATGGGTGTCTCCTTCATCCCTATCATATTATAGTTTACT